ACCACGACACCGCGACCCCTGACCCTCCCACCGGGGTGGGGCCGTCTTACCGCCCCGTTTTCCTTCGAGTCCGCCCACCCAAAGCGAACACGATGGTCGGGCAGCTGGTGAAGATGTTCGAGAAGCGACTTAAGTTTCGACAGAGACCAGACGTAACCTACTAGTAACGGGACGGGGAAGAATTTCTTTCATCATACCGTTGGCACGACATTTCTTACCAACACTGTGTGACGTCACAACAATAAGGAACGAATTTCAGTTCAGGACGGACTACTCTTTGGCTACTGTAAAATTGTTTCCCTTTAAATGAAACTGGACTCTTTATGCACACTACAACTCTTCGACACAATGACATCCGGACACGTTGACTAAATAAACTGGAGATCCACGTGAGCAAGGTGATCATTTCACTTACACTTACACCATCCGGAAGGCTGACTGACAAAAAACCTTAGCAGGTTTCTGGTCGCTTACACTTAGTCTTTCTATGAAATTTTTTTTTTAAAAAGGTGCTGAGCACATCGTCATCGTTAGTGCTAAGATGATATTTCAACTTGTTGCAGAACATTCAATTAATTCCACTGAACTGAATGTAGAGTGATATTTTCAAAACACTGACATACTTGTACTGTGATTGGTACATACTTGTACTGTGATATGTTACATACTTGTATTGTAATATGGTATTCGCGGTTTTCAAACCTGGGTACAAAAATAAACTAACATAAAAAATCTTGCTGTTTGTTGTATTATGTAATTAAAAATATTTATGGCTTGTGCAATTTTTCATTTTGTGGGCAAAAACCAAAACTTTTTTTCCTATAAATTAATCATTTCCTGGCAACGAATCTATATTAGGTTTTAGTTGAGAAGGAATCTATACAAGTGCTTAGTTGAGAAAGAATCTATATAATAGCTTAGTTGAGAAAGAATCTATACAAGTGCTTAGTTGAAAAAGAATCTATATGATGACTTAGTTGAGAAAGAATCTATATAATCGCTTAGTTGAGAAAGAATCTATACAAGTGCTTAGTTGAAAAAGAATCTATATAATAGCTTAGTTGAGAAAGAATCTATACAAGTGCTCAGTTGAAAAAGAATCTATTCAAGTGCTTAGTTGAGAAAGAATCTATACAAGTGCTTAGTTGAAAAAGAATCTATATAATGACTTAGTTGAGAAAGAATCTATATAATCGCTTAGTTGAGAAAGAATCTATACAAGTGCTTAGTTGAAAAAGAATCTATATAATAGCTTAGTTGAGAAAGAATCTATACAAGTGCTCAGTTGAAAAAGAATCTATTCAAGTGCTTAGTTGAGAAAGAATCTATACAAGTGCTTAGTTGAAAAAGAATCTATATAATGACTTAGTTGAGAAAGAATCTATATAATCGCTTAGTTGAGAAAGAATCTATACAAGTGCTTAGTTGAAAAAGAATCTATATAATAGCTTAGTTGAGAAAGAATCTATACAAGTGCTCAGTTGAAAAAGAATCTATTCAAGTGCTTAGTTGAGAAAGAATCTATACAAGTGCTTAGTTGAAAAAGAATCTATATAATGACTTAGTTGAGAAAGAATCTATATAATCGCTTAGTTGAGAAATAATCTATATAATCGCTTAGTTGAGAAAGAATCTATATAAAGGCTTAGTTGAGAAATAATATATATATAATGGCTTAGTTTAAAAAGAATCCATATAATTGCATAGTTGAGATATAATCTATATATTTGCTTAGTTGAGATAGAATCTATATAAGGGCTTAGTTGAGATAGAATCTATATAAGGGTTTAGTTGAGATAGAATCTATATAAGGGCTTAGTTGAGATAGAATCTTTATAATTGCTTAAGTGAGATAGAATCTATATAAGGGCTTAGTTGAGATAGAATCTATATAAGGGCTTAGTTGAGATAGAATCTATATAATTGCTTAGGTAAGATATAATCTATATAATCGCTTAGTTGAGATAGAATCTATATAAGGGCTTAGTTGAGAAGGAATCTATATAAGGGCTTAATTGAGGGGATGTCATTGGCGCCAGTTTCTTTTTAGACTTCTCTTAAAATATGGAATCTGTGAATGTTTTCTTCCATGTCGTCGTTGAAGACGTCACTGATGTCTTAACGACATTTGGCAAAGTATCCATGTCCTTTGGTGTGCTAGTACGTGTTCTTATCTGATACTGCTCAATGTAGTTTTGTGATGTAAGACTGCTCAGTGTAGTTTTGTGATGTAAGACTACTCAATGTATATTCCAATCAAGAAATGTTATTACAGGGTGTCCTTTTGTTGGAAAACATCTGATAACATAAACAATTTAGTGAGAGAGACTGTCGTTGAGCAGTAGCGTCATAGACTATTATTTAGACGTCTCTGGGATCAGGCAAGATTACTATCAAAGCTTACCTTATATTGACACAAATTGTTGGTGTCTAATTAATCTGCGAAAACTCAACACAATTCATTATTTTAAAGAAGAAGTATCATGTTACAGACCGGAGACACTGGACCACTCACCGGCCCGTTCACCGACTGATGGCTATTGGGGGAGTTCGCTCCCCGGGTACAGGATGCCGATCTTAGCAGGCATCCCGAGCAAGTAAATGGCTGCCTCGTTCGTTTAATCGCGGACAACTTAGTGTCCAGCAAAATGACAGACTGCACACCTTAGTGTCCATCCAATCAAAAGACTGCACACCTTAGTGTCCATCCAATCAAAAGACTACACACCTTAGTGTCAAGCCAATCAATAGACTGCACCCCTTAGTGTCAAGCCAACCAATAGATTGCACACCTTATTGCAAAGCCAATCAATAGACTACACACCTTAGTGTCCAGTCAATCAATAGACTGCACACCTTAGTGTCCAACCAATCAATAGACTGTGTCCAGCATATCAAAAGACTGTGTCCAGCATATAAAAAGACTGTGTCCAGCATATCAAAAGACTGTGTCCAGCCAATCAATAGACTGCATACCTTATTGTCTAGCCAATCAATAGACTTGTCACCTTAGTGTCCAGTCAATCAATATACTGTGTCCAGCCAATCAAATGACTGCACACCTTAGTGGTGTCCAGCCAATAAATAGACAGCACACCTTAGTGTCCAGCGAATTAATAGACTGTGTCCAGCAAATCAAAAGACTGTGTCCAGCCAATCAATAGACTGCACATCTTATTGTCTAGCCAATCAATAGACTGCACACCTTAGTGTCCAGCCAATAAATAGACTGCACACATTCGTGTCCAGCCAATCAATAGACTGCACACATTAGTGTCCAGCCAATCAATAGACTGCACACATTCGTGTCCAGCCAATCAATAGACTGCACACATTAGTGTCCAGCCAATCAATAGACTGCACACCTTAGTTTCCAACCAATCAAAAGACTGCACCTTCCTCGCTCGCCACAAAATGTGATTTGATAGTGCGGAATCGCCATCAAACTCAAGCAGCACAATATCATCAATATTAAAATAACCTTCAATTTATTTTTTGACAGAAACTTCCAAAGACGTTTCTAAATTTAGCTGTTCTTATTCGTATCTAAAACCATGACTACTCGATGTTATTATTTTATCGTTTATCGCCGTTCTTACACACACCCAAATATGTATTCAAAATGTTTAAATACAAAATGTCACTGACCCATTGTTGACCATTGACCAGTGCATTCATGCCACCACTTAAAACATTGACCCATGGTTGACCATTGACCAGTGCATTCATGCCACCACTTAAAACATTGACCCATTGTTGACCATTGACCACTGCATTCATGCCACCACTTAAAACATTGACCCATTGTTGACCATTGACCAGGGCATTCATGCCACCACTTAAAACATTGACCCATTGTTCACCATTGACCAGGGCATTCATCCCACCACTTAAAACATTGACCCAATGGTTCACCATTGACCAGGGCATTCATGCCACCACTTAAAACATTGACCCAATGGTTCACCCTTGACCAGGGCATTCATGCCACCACTTAAAACATTGACCCAATGGTTCACCATTGACCAGTGCATTCATGCCACCACTTAAAACATTGACCCATTGTTCACCATTGACCAGTGCATTCATGCCACCACTTAAAACATTGACCCATTGTTCACCATTGACCAGTGCATTCATGCCACCACTTAAAACATTGACCCATTGTTGACCATTGACCAGGGCATTCATGCCACCACTTAAAACATTGACCCATTGTTGACTATTGATCAGGGCATTCATGCCACCACTTAAAACATTGACCCATTGTTCACCATTGACCAGGGCATTCATGCCACCACTTAAAACATTGACCCATTGTTCACCATTGACCAGGGCATTCATGCCACCACTTAAAACATTGACCCATTGTTCACCATTGACCAGGGCATTCATGCCAGCACTTAAAACATTGACCCATTGTTGATTATTGACCAGTGCATTCATGCCACCCTTTTAAAACATTGAACTACAATAGCAAAGAGGAAACAAAAGTACACATGACGTAGAATTCTTTGCCTGTGACCTTTATTTATTTTTTAAAACATGTTTAAAACAAAAAAAAACATTGGATTTCCATTTCTTTTTTCAATATGTTACCACTAATATGTTACCACTAATATGTTACCACTAATATGTTACCACTAATATGTTACCACTAATATGTTACCACTAATATGTTACCACTAATATGTTACCACTAATATGTTACCACTAATATGTTACCACTAATATGTTACCACTAATATGTTACCACTAATATGTTACCACTAATATGTTACCACTAATATGTTACCACTAATATGTTACCACTAATATGTTACCACTAATATGTTACCACTAATATGTTACCACTAATATGTTACCACTAATATGTTACCACTAATATGTTACCACTAATATGTTACCNTTTTTTTTTTTTTTTTTTTTTTTTTTTTTTTTTTTTTTTTTTTTTTTTTTTTTTTTTTTTTTTTTTTTTTGGGGGGGGGTGGGGTGAGGGGAGCGGAGTGTCTCTCCGGATGAGGCGTTTAAAAATGTTTCTCCTCCGTTTACTTTATTTATTATAGCAGCTGTTAAAATACTTAGGGATATCTATTAGGGATATCTATTAGGGATATCTATTAGGGATATCTATTAGGGATATCTATTAGGGATATCTATTAGGGATATCTATTAGGGATATCTAAATGATGTAAAGGAGAGAGAGAAAGACAGCGAGAGAGAGAGAGAGAGAGAGAGAGAGTTGGGGACAGGGAAAGAGAAGGAGAGGGAGAGAGATAAAGAAAGAGAAGGGGAGATAGGGAGAGAGAAAGGGAGAGAGAGAGAGGGAGAGAGAGAGCGGGGGACGGGATGTAGATGCTAAGGGTTAAACTATATGTGTGGCAAGATGTACTTGATTGGTCAAATCACCCCTATTCTATTTCATGGGACCATGATATCTGACAGGCTCTAGTTTCATGACATTCTGTGTCCCGACACCACAGTTCCACGACTCTATGACATTCCATGTCAGGCCATCTGCTGCTTTCCTGCCTGTTACTTGAAACAGGGAACCGGATGTGACCTGTGAGGTCACCACAAGTGACAAAATACCAAAGAGATGCCCATCACGGCCAGCTCCAATGCAGTCACGTGATAGTGCCTCTCGCCCCCTGAGGTGGAGTCTGAGTGGAAGACAGACACAAAGAAAAGACATTTTGTTGTATCCCATTGGTGATGTTACATAACATTAAAAACTGGATTCAATTACCAACAAGATGATGAGATACGGACACAGTTCTATTTACATTTAAGACACACTTCTTACATATAAGACACACTGCTTACATATAAGACACACTGCTTACATATAAGACATACTGCTTAAATAGAAGACACACTTGTTACTAATAAGACACACTGCTTACATATAAGACATACTGCATACATATAAGACACATTGTTTACATTTAAGAAACATAACTTATATTAAAAAGACTTTGCTTAAATTTAAGACACGACAAATTTCATACATTTGAGACGCATTGAAAAAGTTAAGACACATCCTTGACACAACATGAGGCATGAGTTAACCCATTAACAGAAGTTTGTATTGTTAATTCTAGCAGTCGGGTAACATTAATAATGCGTTCTAGAAATTATAAAGGGTTACATTTTACAACAGGTGCCATGAGGTGCCCCAACGAGCAACTCTGGGTGCCACGGCATGAAGGTGTACCACAGCGAGCCCCTCTGGGTGCCACGGCATGAAGAGGTACCACAGTGAGCCCCTCTGGGTGCCATGGCATGAAGGGGTACCCCAACAAGCCTATCTGGCTGCCATGTTATGATGTGGTGCCCCAGCGAGCCCCTCTGGGTGCCACGGTATGAAGGGGTACCCTAGCGAGCCCCTCTGGGTGCCACGGTATGAAGGGATACCCCAAGAAGCCTGTCCCTGGCTGCCATGGCATGATGTGGTGCTCCAGCGAGTCCCTCTGGGTGCCACGGCATGAAGGGGTACCACAGCGAGCCCCTCTGGGTGCCACGGCATGAAGGGGTACCACAGCGAGCCCCCCCCCCCTCTGGGTGCCACGGCATGAAGGGGTACCCCAACGAGCCCCTCTAGGTCCCACTAAATAACTAATTACGTTGAATTGAAGTGTTATTATTTTTTTAAAAATATCTTTAAAATTATTTTTTAAAATCACGTTTTACTTTTTAAATGTAATGTCCGTTACATTTCTTTATTCCTTTGCTAAATTGTGCGCACTCATAACTTTAGCATAAACCTACAAAGCCTAAATGATGATGCGATACGAACATGTTATCTGTCTTAAATGTAAACTTATCATGACAATTGTTGCTAGCCCAGCACTTATCATGGGAATAGTTGCTAGCCCAGAACTTATCATGTGACTGGTTGTTAGCCCAGCCAATTACCATGGGAATAGTTGCCAGGTGTCAGGATGAGGGTATTCCATTCCCTTCTTAATTGATGTCAACTTTCCCCAACACTACTGATATTAAAGAAGACCCTTGGTCTGAAATGTCCCTCACCAGTGAAGATGATGGTCAGTTCGTATACAGTTTAAACATTTTACCAATGATTTGGGGTGGTGGTGGTGTGAAGGCTCTTCGTCAATTTTTTGGGAAATAATTTAAAACTTAACTAGTGACACAAAAAAAAACGAATTTTAAAAATATATAATATATCAACTCACGTTGTTGCACAAATTTATTATCTTTCTTGTTTGGCTCTTGCTTTAAGTGACGGTCAGCCATCTGGGCTTCGAACGAGCCCCCCTTGTCCGGATCCACAATGGCCTCCTGTGACGTCAGAATGATCGGCATCTTAGTAGTTCTAGTGGTCCTTTTGGTTTCATGCTGTCTGGTGGTTCTTCTGCGCCTTACCGGGGGTTGTATCCACTTCCGGGTCCAGCCGGGCATGACTCTGAGTTTCCTGGTGGACCTAGCCGGCTCCTCGCTCCCTGAGATGGTCATTTCTTGATCTATCGTTGAACTCGTCGCCACTGGGGTGGTCAAGATCTCCGTGCTGGCGATGGTCAAGATCTCCGGGCTGGTGGTGGTCGAGTGCTCCGTGCTGGCGATGGTCAAGATCTCCGGGCTGGTGGTGGTCGAGTGCTCCGGGCTGCTGGTGGTCAAGATTTCCGTGGTGGTGATGGTTGGGTTCTCCGGGCTGGTGACGGTCGAGGTGTTTGTTTCCGATTCGTTGTCGCCTGCCTTGCCTGAATCGAAACGAGCCAACGATTTCTTGTTGTCCGGGCCCTCCATGTCATCCATGCCATCCATGTCATCCTGGTCCGCGGTTTCGTTGGCGACCACAAAATGTATTTCCGACAGGACTACGACCTCATTACCGAACGGGGAGCTAATGGCCTCACACTTGAACGTCCACAATTCATGCGCAGCCATTGTAATCTCCTAAATGAACAAGAAACATCCATCATGACCTCCTAAAAAACAAGAAACATCCATCATGACCTCCTAAATAACAAGAAACATCCATCATGATCTCCTAAATAACAAGAAACATCCACCATGACCACCTAAAAGACCAGGACACATCCATCATGACCACCTAAAAGACCAGGACACATCCATCATGATCAACTAAACCTAATGGGATCCATTTTAAAGTGTCGAGTGTCAAGTGTCAAATGTCGAGTGTCAAGTATCAAATGTCAAGTGTCAAGTGTCGAGTGTCAAATGTCAAGTGTCAAATGTTGAGTGTCAAGTATCGAGTGTCAAATGTCGAGTGACAAGTGTTGAGTGTCAAGTGTCGAGTGTCAACTGTCGAGTTTCAAGTGTCGAGTGTCAAGTATCAAGTGTCAAATGTCGAGTGTTGAGTGTCAAGTGTCGAGTGTCAAGTGTTGTATGTCAAGTGTTGAGTGTCAAATGTCGAGTGTCAAGTGTTGAGTGTCAAGTGTCGAGTGTTGAGTATCAAATGTCGAGTGTCAAGTGTTGAGTGTCAAATGTTGAATGTCAAGTGTTGAGTGTCAAGTGTCGAGTGTCAAGTGTCAAATGTTGGGTGTCAAGTGTCGAGTGTCAAGTGTCGAGTGTCAATTGTTGAGTGCCAAGTGTCAAGTGTTGAGTGTCAAGTGTTGAGTGCGAAGTGTTGAGTGTCAAGTACCAAGTGTCGAGTGTCAAGTGTCAATTGCCAAGTGTCAAGTGTTGAGTGTCAAGTGTCAAGAGTCGAGTGTCAAGTATCAAGTGTCAAGTTACACAAATACATAGAGATAAACAAAAACCTTGTCTTTTTTGTTATTGACGACGTCGATGTATTGTGGTTGTTTGCATTTGTTTGTGAACCTTTATGAGACTGTAACACGTGCACCTACAGAATTTGGCTCGTAGAGCGCAGTTTCGTTGTCTGTGCCAAACGCACGGATCCTAAATTTCTCCACCTTGGGGTAGCCGTCTGTGGTAGAACATTTTATAGACACCGTATCTCCAGTGCTGAAAGAGAAAATACTTTCTTTTTTTTTTACATCGTGAGACTCACTGGCATAAAATAAAACCATGAACCTTTCGTTGACAGAAAGGAGGTTTGGTGATAGAAGTTAGGGGGCAGAACGGAAGTTAGGGGACAGAACGGAAGTTAGGGGACAGAACGGAAGTTAGGTGACAGAACGGAAGTTAGGTAACAGAACGGAAGTTAGGGGACAGAACAGAAGTTAGGTGACAGAACGGGAGTTAAGGGAAATAACGGAATTTGGGTAACAGAATGGAAGTTAGGGGACAGAACAGAAGTTAGGGGACAGAACGGAAGTTGGTTGACAGAACGGGAGTTGTGTGACAAAACGGAAGTTAGGGGACATAATGGAAGTTAGGGGACAGAACGGAAGTTGGGTAACAGAATGGAAGTTAGGGGACAGAATGGAAGTTAGGTGACAGACATGAAATGGTAAACTATATCTCAAGTCGGATTTAACTGTACACAAAACTCATCATCATCATCATCATGTCCCTTAGTCCTTGAACCTTTGGGGCGCCACAGATGACATGAAAACTATCCCTCTCCATTCCTCTCTGTTTTCTGCACTTCGCACAGCATCGCCTAGCTTTAGTCCCGTCCACTCTTTGATGTTATCTTCACATCTTTTCCTCTGTGTTCCTCTTCTTCTCCCTCCTCTCGTTGCGCCCTGCATGATTTCTTTGGCCAGCCCTTGTACACAAAACTATATATTAAATGGAATAGGCTAACACCTTTAAAGGATTGATGTGTACATGAAAGAAAAGTATGGCTGCGTACATGAGCAGACCGTGTGGGTGTGTACATAAAAAGACACAGTTGTGTACTTGAACAGACAACCCACACACCCATGTGGTACTACTCACATTGCCTTTCTCCGCTTGTGGCTCATCAGGACGTTCTTGGGCGCCGGTGGAAAGTGATAGTACACCTGAAAGCTCTTACAGAACGGGTTGTCACATGACAAGTCACCGCCTTGGGGGTTGTCGGGGTGTTTGACAAATATCACAACGTCGACTATGGGGTGACCCGACAAGCTCTCGTTTTCCAATTGTTCTGTATGTGTCAAAAAGTGAATCGTGTTTCATGTGGAAAAAGAGGGCGTTCAGAAGAACACCGCTTTGACCATGATTTAATTTTCGTAAGTGACAGGAAGCTATGCTTATCGAAAATTTTTGAAACGAATCTTCCCATTGATACCAACTACGACGAGGTTGGGAGATTCTAAGTACATGATTCAAATCGGTTTTTTTTTAAAAATTGAATAATTACTTTTTACCCATTTATAGGGTTAACAAAATACTATTTTACAAAATTTTCAAATATCCTTTAGTATTTAATTTAAATTTATTTATTTTTATTTATTTCATGATTAAACGGTTGACTTGTTTTAACAAGAAGTCGGGGGAGGGAAAGGGGTGGTGACACCGTAAGTTGACCGCACCGTGTGGCACCAATCTTAGCTGCGCCAGTGCTGTGTACCAAGATTTAGATAACCAAGATTGGCAATTACTTTTAGCGCCAAGATATCGACATCAGCAAATCTAAGAACTCTCAAATTAAACGTAATGTAAGATGTTCAAAAAATGTTATCTTCCCCCCCCCCCTCCAAATCCCCACCTAAATCTACACCTTTTGAAGGACATACCATCTCAAACCCGCCAGCGGCCTTCGCACTTCCAGCACAATAGTTACAGCCACGGCCGTGCCGAGGAAAAGCTGTGCCCATAAATATTTAATGGACAGTGGCGTATCTAGGGTTAGTGCCGCCTATATGGGCCAAGATTTTGTACACCCTCATTCCATGAAAAAAAATACTGCACCTCGAAACAGAGACTTAAGTGCCGCCACGGATGGAATGCCCCCCCCCCCCCCCCGAGTCCCTTTCTTCGTCACTATATATGGATAATTTGTGAAATTGGGGCTCCAGGGGCGGATCGGTGACCCCTTGCTACGCTAGTGGACCCAGGCCTAAATATATAATGAAATGTACGATTTGACATTCCTCTGACGCAGGTCCCTCAGGGTGGCCGCGTACGCCCCTGGCTACATCTCTGCCCACAGGTTATGACTTACGATCGCCTAGTGCAGCGGTGAAGTTGCAACGAAAATAATTGTGTGGCTGGGGAGTCGCCACGACACGAGAAACTGTATTAAAGGGTCGCGGCACTAGGAAGGTTGAGAACCACTGGCCTAGTGGCACCGGCCTGATGTCGTAGTGCTAAAACTTACTGTTGACGAATTCGAACTCCTCTTGAATGTCTTCACCGCAAGAGAGATTGTTGTTGACTGCACCGCCGTAGCTGGCCAGGAGTTGAGAGAGATTGTTGTTGTCTTCAGCAACGTCGCTGGCCAGCAGATGACCACCCACAAACACATTCATGTGGATGGAAGTATTCAAGGACCAATTTGTGGTAGCTGTGATGGGTTGGGTCGCGATGGGGTGGAGGGGCAGAAATATATATGTGGTTTTAAAATAATTAGAAAATGTAATGTGGGAGGGAGCTGAGATAGAGGAATAGGTTGTGTATGTAGGTTTGGGTGTGTGTGGGGGTGTGCTGGGCGCTGTGGATGGTTTTATCCCTGTGCATTGTGCATGGTTTTATCACTGTGCACTGGGGATGGTTTTATCGCTGTGCATTGCGGATGGTTTTATCACTGTGCATTGTGCATGGTTTTATCACTGTGCACTGTGGATGGTTTTATCGCTGTGCACTGTGGATGGTTTTATCGCTGTGCACTGTGGATGATTTTATCGCTGTGCATTGTGGATGGTTTTATCGCCGTGGATTGTGCATGGTTTTTACGCTGTGCATTGTGCATGGTTTTATCGCTGTGGGTTGTGCATGGTTTTATCACTGTGCACTGTGGATGGCTTTATCGCTGTGCATTGTGCATGGTTTTATCGCCGTGGAATGTGCATGGTTTTATCGCTGTGCATTGTGCATGGTTTTATCGCTGTGGGTTGTGCATGGTTTTATCGCTGTGGGTTGTGCATGGTTTTATCGCTGTGGGTTGTGCATGGTTTTATCGCTGTGGGTTGTGCATAGTTTTATCGCTGTGGGTTGTGCATGGTTTTATCGCTGTGGGTTGTGCATGGTTTTATCGCTGTGGGTTGTGCATGGTTTTATCGCTGTGGGTTGTGCATGGTTTTATCGCTGTGGGTTGTGCATGGTTTTATCGCTGTGCACTGTGGATGGCTTTGTAGTGGATTTCGGGCGTGTTCCCTTGTTCACGACATCAGTACATAAAAATAAATGTTTGATTAGAATGACATAGTAAACATTGCCTAGTGACCATCTCTGAAGAATAGATTCTAATCCTACTTTGGTCAAATGATTTCTGATCTTCAAATGGTAACAAAAATTGGACACATGTCAAAATTAATGTGGAATAATCTGCATTATAGGGCAGTATTGGACACATCAAATGATTGTGCATGTGGCACTGCACGTGAAATGACACAACAGCTACATGACACGAGACACCAGCTACATATGACACAACACACCTTTAAATTTTACTGTGCTGTCGAGTTTTTTCGGCGAATTCGGTCCAACAGGATCTGACTCAACCTGTAAAAATGAAATCAACTCAGCTTGTCATCATAAAGTAGCACTCTGCGTCTTATTAATGACTCTTACCTTTGACCAACTCAGCTTGTCATCATAAAGTAGCACTCTGCGTCTTATTAATGACTCTTACCTTTGACCAACTCAGCTTGTCATCGTAAGTAGCACTCTGCGTCTTATTAATGACTCTTACCTTTGTTCCTTTTGACCATAAATCTCCCCCCAGAGGCGTAGCGAGGGGGGTGCAGGGGCAGATGCCCCCGGGCGCAAGGTAGTTAGGGGCGCCAAAATGCGCTTTGATATTATTTTATTGATGAAAATAATGGGTTTGAGAGTTTAAAAAAAAGAAAAAGGGGCGCCTTAAAATGGATGTTGTCCCCGGGCGCGAATCTTGTCCCCGGGCGCCAAACACCTTCGCTACGCCGCTGCCCCCCCCCCCCGATACCTTTTCCTTCCTATTGGGATATAGGTCTCTTTGCGATCATTTATGATAATATACCATTTAGTCCCCCCCCGATCCCTTTTCCTTCCTTTTGGGATATTGGTCTCTTTTCGATCATTTATGATAATATACCATTTAGCCCCCCCCTGTGTTAGCCATAGCAATGGAGGCCCCCCCCCCCAAACCCTTCTTTACATGACACGATTCGTCATTAGTAAATAAGAGTTTCCCTGACAAGGTGACCCACCTCAAACTTTGTGACGTTACAGTCGCACGTGACATCCCCTGGTTGGCAGCCATTGGTGGGCGTCATCGCAAGACACAGGAACGTAAGGACGAGAAGAGACCTTGACCTCGTGCGGATCGTATGCGGGACATTTTTGGAGCCACCCCAGCTGAGCATCTTTAGAAACGCCTTGCCTGAAATAGTTCCCATTCAATTGTCGACCATGTAACATGTCTTGTATCATGTCTTGTATCATGTCTTGTATCATGTCTTGTATCATGTCTTGTATCATGTCTTGTATCATGTCTTGTATCATGTCTTGTATCATGTCTTGTAACATCTCTTGTAACATGTCTTGTATCATGTCTTGTATCATGTCTTGTATCATGTCTTGTAACATCTCTTGTAACATGTCTTGTAACATGTCTTGTATCATGTCTTGTATCATGTCTTGTATCATGTCTTGTATCATGTCTTGTAACATCTCTTGTAACATGTCTTGTAACATGTCTTGTAACATCTCTTGTAACATGTCTTGTATCATGTCTTGTATCATGTCTTGTATCATGTCTTGTAACATCTCTTGTAACATGTCTTGTAACATGTCTTGTATCATGTTTTGTAACATCTCTTGTAACATCTCTTGTAACATGTCTTGTAACATCTCTTGTAACATGTCTTGTAACATGTCTTGTATCATGTCTTGTATCATGTCTTGTAATATGTCTTGTATCATGTTTTGTAACATCTCTTGTAACATGTCTTGTAACATGTCTTGTATCATGTCTTGTATCATGTCTTGTAACATGCCTTATATCATGTCTTGTAACATGTCTTATAACATGTCTTGTATCATGTCTTGTATCATGTCTTGTATCATGTCTTGTATCATGTCTTGTAACATGTCTTATATCATGTTTTTTCTAACATGTCTTGTAACATGTCTTGTATCATGTCTTGTATCATGTCTTGTAACATGTCTTATAACATGTCTTGTAACATGTCTTGCATCGTGTCTTGTATCATGTCGTGTAAAATGTCTTGTATCATGTCTTGTATCATGTCTTGTAACATGTCTTATAACATGTCTTGTAACATGTCTTGCATCATGTCTTGTATCATGTCGTGTAAAATGTCTTGTATCATGTCTTGTATCATGTCTTGTATCATGTCTTGTAACATGTCGTGTAAAAAAACAAAAAAAAACAAACAAACGCTGTTATTAAAAAGGGCTCGCTTCCTATGATCCAATTTCAAAACACAATTAAAACCGACTAAAACCTAATAAAACCCATTCAAACACGCCTCAAACCTACTAGAACCCATTCAAACACGACTAAAACCTACTAGAACCCATTCAAACACGACTAAAACCTACTAGAACCCATTCAAACACGACTAAAACCTACTCAAACCTACTAGAACCCATTCAAACACGACTAAAACCTACTAGAACCCATTCAAACACAACTAAAACCGACTCAAACCTACTAGAACCCATTCAAACACGACTAAAACCTGCTAAAACCTACTAGAACCCATTCAAACACGACTAAAACCTACTAGAACCCATTCAAACACGACTAAAACCTGCTAAAACCTACTAGAACCCATTCAAACACGCCTAAAACCTACTAAAACCTACTAGAACCCATTCAAACACGACTAAACCCTACTAGAACCCATTCAAACACGCCTAAAACCTACTAAAACCTACTAGAACCCATTCAAACACGCCTAAAACCTACTAGAACCCATTCAAACACGACTAAAACCTACTAGAACCCATTCAAACACAACTAAAACCTACTAAAGCACGACGAAAACCCACCAAAACACGACTAAAACCCACTTAGGCCTTTAGTTATAGTTTCCCCGACCTCAACTTGACCTTTCCACCTGGTCCACTGGGTGTTCTGGTGTTGCTTCCCACACGTTTCCCCACGACACACACACACTTATCAGGCCGTTAGAAGTACTTGGCTCCCACATACGGAAAGTCTCTTCTATTCGACACTTCCGTTTAGATAAGGGTGCAATTCGGTGTTACTCTCGACCACGAGCGGAAACTCCCCCAAAAAGCCTTTTAAATGTACAAGGCGCATTCGATGAGCATCTTATGAGGCTGGGTGGGGAGCTTCCTGCTGGTTCTGGTAGGGTACGTTGCTGAATCCATGCACTGGCATATGTGCAACGGTTGGGCGATGCGATGCTGGTATTTTTGTACGGCTCCCAGTAGATGCTAGGACAGCTTGGAAGCTCTCGGTTGACGTCGAGTTTACGGCGGTATTGTCCAGGTGGTTCCAAGGGTTACCGGAAATTTGATGGAAAGAAATTTCGTTGACGGAAAAAATTGATCGACGGATATTCGAACACATTTTTTCAGTTTACACATTACAATTTTCGACAACTTTCTTTTTGAACGCCCTGTACTGTATAGCAGGGGTCCCCAAACTACGCCCTATCATGGGGCCCGCGGAGACCTTTTTGTCTACGGAAAAAAAAAATATTATGGAAATGTACGTGTAACCTGGCAAGAGTTGCAAGCAAATGACCTCCTTAGGGACAAGTTCAAAGAAGGACTGGTGGGTTTTCACCAGTTTTCGTCCAAGGAAGACTTTCCTAATTTCAAAACTTTTGCATCAAGGTACCTTTCAATCTTTGGAACAACATGCCTGTGGGAACAAACATTTTCAAGAACGAAATACGTGAAGAAAAAATTTGAGAACAAATTTGTCCGATGATAATCTCAAGTCACTGTTGATGTTAGGGACATCAAATCTAAATCCAGAAATGTCTGCTAATCACATCCAGGAAACAATTTCACCTTTCCCACTAATACAGGTGTTCATGTGTCGGTTATCAATGTGTTATTAAATAAAAACTGAATGAAATAATAATACATAAATAATTAAAAACAACATCCTTGTTTTGATTCCTTTTCATTTGGACCTCGAGTGTGTAGTCGGCCTCCGAACTGCCATTAGATAGTTAATGCGGCCCACGGGCTGAAAAGTTTGGAGACCCCTGCTATATAGTAAAACAAAATAATGCGTTCAAACAGAAATTTAACGCATCATTTTAACGTGTAAACTGAAAAGAAAAAAAAGAAAAGATTCGACTAAATTTCCGCTCGAACAAATTTCCATCGATCAATTTTCCGTCGAAAAAAATTTCTCTCGATAAAATTTCCGGATACGGGTTCCAAGCGATGTGTGTTCGTGGGAAAAATGATTTTTTTTTTATTGGACAGTGTTGCACCGAGGCACAGTAAAGCATTTCTCATTGTTTCGGATGTAATGGCTTATGGCTAATGGGGTTTTTAAGACTGTCACAAGAATTGCCATGGGTTGAAGTCTCGAGGAAAATATGGCAGATGGTGAAAGGATGAAGGCACCGTGTAGCTAGACACATAATTGGGAGCAAAGAGGTGGGCTTAAAAAACGTTTTGAGCAGAGGGAAAGAGGCGTAGAGATACACTCCAGACTTGTACACATAAGCAGTGCGTGTAGAAGAAAATTTCCTGTTGAGGGTAGGTCAACCAGTATTTCTCATACGAATCATTTACTTTGTTCCTCTTGAGGCATAGTCTACCCATGAACATTGGTTCTAAAATTTGCTTTTCATAAACAATAAACAAACAAAAAACGAATCTTCCTGGTCGCTGCTGATGAGCATATGAGAAAGTAGGCCCTACACGTTTACGAAAATTCATTTAAAAATTCCAAGAAAATTTTGCAAGAAAAGAAAAATACTTTTTGGGCAAAAATCTTTTCCCAAAGAAATTGGTCACTCGAGCTCTCTTTGAACCAAACTGGCGAAGCAAATCTTACTTTTTAACATAGTGAATTATTTACAAGATTGCTTCCCCTTGAGTGACATCCGTACAACAGAATAATATTTGTAAGACATCAGTTTGTGATAGTTGTTTGATCTGTTTTCTTAAATTTAATTTTTATGCGTTTTCTTATTATTGAAAATATATAACTTGACAACATTCTATACACAAATTAACTTGGAAAAAAAATGGAGCTATTTTACAATTATATTCATGCATATGCCTAACTGATCCACTATTCATGTTACTGTGATCCATTCATGTGTAACATTGCTTGAATTATAACCCTTGGTAGTAAACCAAATAGTCATTGGTAGTAAGCTATTTAACCATTGGTAGTAAGCTATTTAACCATTGGTAGTAAACTATTTAACCATTGGTAGTAAACTATTTAACCATTGGTAGTAAACTATTTAACCATTGGTTGTAAACTATTTAACCATTGGTAGTAAACTATTTAACCATTGGTAGTAAACTATTTAACCATTGGTAGTAAACTATTTAACCATTGGTAGTAAACTATTTAACCATTGGTAGTAAACTATTTAACCATTGGTAGTAAACTATTTAACCATTGGTAGTAAACTATTTAACCATTGGTAGCAAACTATTTAACCATTGGTAGTAAGTATTTAACCATTGGTAGTAAGTATTTAACCATTGGTAGTAAACTATTTAACCATTGGTAGTAAACTATTTAACCATTGGTAGTAAACTATTTAACCATTGGTAGTAAGTATTTAACCATTTGTAGTAAACTTTTTAACCATTGGTAGTAAACTATTTAATCATTGGTAGTAAACTATTTAACCATTGGTAGTAAGTATTTAACCATTGGTAGTAAGTATTTAACCATTGGTAGTAAACTATTTAACCATTGGTAGTAAACTATTTAACCATTGGTAGTAAACTATTTAACCATTGGTAGTATGTATTTAACCATTGGTAGTAAGTATTTAACCATTGGTAGTAAACTATTTAACCATTGGTAGTAACCTATTTAACCATTGGTAATAAACTATTTAACCATTGGTAGTAAACTATTTAACCATTGGTAGTAAACTATTTAACCATTGGTAGTAAACTATTTAACCATTGGTAGTAAACTATTTAACCATTGGTAGTAAACTATTTAACCATTGGTAGTAAACTATTTAACCATTGGTAGTAAACTATTTAACCATTGGTAGTAAACTATTTAACCATTGGTAGTAAACTATTTAACCATTGGTAGTAAACTATTTAACCATTGGTAGTAAACTATTTAACCATTGGTAGTAAACTATTTAACCATTGGTAGTAAACTATTTAACCATTGGTAGTAAACTATTTAACCATTGGTAGTAAACTATTTAACCATTGGTAGTAAACTATTTAACCATTGGTAGTAAACTATTTAACCATTGGTAGTAAACTATTTAACCATTGGTAGTAAACTATTTAACCATTGGTAGTAAACTATTTAACCATTGGTAGTAAACTATTTAACCATTGGTAGTAAACTATTTAACCATTGGTAGTAAACTATTTAACCATTGGTAGTAAACTATTTAACCATTGGTAGTAAACTATTTAACCATTGGTAGTAAACTATTTAACCATTGGTAGTAAACTATTTAACCATTGGTAGTAAACTATTTAACCATTGGTAGTAAACTATTTAACCATTGGTAGTAAACTATTTAACCATTGGTAGTAAACTATTTAACCATTGGTAGTAAACTATTTAACCATTGGTAGTAAACTATTTAACCATTGGTAGTAAACTATTTAACCATTGGTAGTAAACTATTTAACCATTGGTAGTAAACTATTTAACCATTGGTAGTAAACTATTTAACCATTGGTAGTAAACTATTTAACCATTGGTAGTAAACTATTTAACCATTGGTAGTAAACTATTTAACCATTGGTAGTAAACTATTTAACCATTGGTAGTAAACTATTTAACCATTGGTAGTAAACTATTTAACCATTGGTAGTAAGTATTTAACCATTGGTAGTAAGCTATTTAACCATTGGTAGTAAACTATGTAACCATTGATAGTAAACTATTTAACCATTGGTAGTAAACTATTTAACCATTGGTAGTAAGTATTTAACCATTGGTAGTAAACTATTTATATATTGGTAGTAACCTATTTAACCATTGGTAGTAAACTATTTAACCATTGGTAGTAAACTATTTAACCATTGGTAGTAAACTATTTAACCATTGGTAGTAAACTATTTAACCATTGGTAGTAAACTATTCAACCATTGGTAGTAAGTATTTAACCATTGGTAGTAAGTATTTAACCATTGGTAGTAAACTATTTAACCATTGGTAGTAAACTATTAACCATTGGTACTAAACTATTCAACCATTGGTAGTAAACTATTTAACCATTGGTAGTAAACTATTTAACCATTGGAAGTAAGTATTTAACCATTGGTAGTAACATATTTAACCATTGGTAGTAAGTATTTAACCATTGGTAGTAAACTATTTAACCATTGGTAGTAAACAATTTAACCATTGGTAGTAAGTATTTAACCATTGGTAGTAAGTATTTAACCATTGGTAGTAAACTATTTAACCATTGGTAGTAAACTATTTAACCATTGGTAGTAAGTATTTAACCATTGGTAGTAAGTATTTAACCATTGGTAGTAAGTATTTAACCATTGGTAGTAAACTATTTAACCATTGGTAGTAAACTATTTAACCATTGGTAGTAAGTATTTAACCATTGGTAGTAA